AATTAAATGGCTCGAAAAAGCTATTTCAGAACAATTTATTAATCAATATAATTATGAAGATTTTCAAGCGGTTCAATTTATCGGCGAGGGGTCATTTGGGAAAGTGCAAAAATTTAAATGGAAGAATTATAATATGATGGTTGTTCATAAAAGTTTAAGAGGATTTATTGAAATGGAAGAAATAAACGAAGAAAAAATTAAAGAACTTGTTAAAGAGGTACTTTTTATTATACAAAAATGTTTAAATCAAATATATTCGTGTCATTAATAATTTAATTTTTTATTTAATGCATAAATTTGCAGCTACGGCTTCTTCAACAAATTTGTAGTTTTCCGAATATTATAAACTTTTATGGAGTAACCAAAGGCATGTATTTTTAACCTGTCCTGTTTAAGAAGAATAATTATAATGTTAACATAATATTTAATCATAATATTGTTAACATCATATCTAACCATATTGTGTTAAATCATCACAAACTTTATAATAATCTTATAATAACGTTAATACTCTTATGTTATAGACCTAAACGGTGATTATTTCATGATTTTACAATATGCAGATGGTGGAAATTTACGTGAATATTTGAAAACAAACTTTTCAAAATTAAGATGGCCTGAAAAATTGCGCATTTCCACGGAAATAGCCCAGGGGATATTAACATTGCACGAACACGGAATTATTCATAAAGATCTTGTAAGTATTATATTTTATTATTAATTATATAAAATTCAAAAAATTTTTAAATAAAAAAAATTTTAAATAAAAAAATTTTAAATAAAAAAAAATTTTTTTTAATATTGCTCTGTTATTTTATATCTAGCATTCCAAGAACATATTAGTTCATCAGAATAAAATGATGATTGCAGATTTGGAATTAACGAAACGTATAGGTGAAAAGTCGAGTTCAATATCTTATGAAAATCCAGCATATATTGATCCACAATGTTTAAAAAAAGATTCTAAATTTGTTCGAACCAAAAAATCGGATGTTTATAGCTTTGGAGTTATTCTTTGGGAAATTTCTAGTGGAAAACCACCATTTGACTCATATAGCTCATCAGAAGTTGCTTTTTTTGTATCTGATGGTGAAAGAGAAATTCCTGTAGAAAATACACCAGCAAAATATTCTAGACTTTATAAACATTGTTGGGATCGTGATCCAAATAAACGACCAGATATAAAAACTGCCTATGAAGTTTTAAGAAAGCAATATGAATTAGCATTACATGTTGAAAAACTTCATATGAATGCAAATTCTTACGCAAATTTAGTTCACAATAATTCTTCAAATCAAGAAGATCAATTAAATAATAAATTAATTCATAACACAAATTCTTATGACAATTTGCCTCGTAAAGTTTTGGAGCAACAAGATGAATCAGATGATAGATTTGTTTATAGTCCTGAATCAAACGACGATTTGCTTCCGGCGCAACAAGATCTGTCAAATGGTAGATTTGTTACTAACATAAGATCAAAGTCTGATAGTCAATTGGTTCGCAAAACTAGTGAAGCTAGCATGAGAGCATATACTGAATATAAAGATTCAATTACACCTGTCAATGTAAGAGCAAATTCGGACAATTATGTTTCAGTTAGACAAACTAATGTAAGAACAAATTTAGATAATAATCATGTTAAACAAATTAACACAAGAACAAATTCAGATAATAATTTAACTAGATCAGGCAGCATAAAAAGCAATAATTCTTCAGTTAGATCACCCAGTGTAAAAACCAATTCAGATAATAATTCTATTATTCACGTTAGGTCACCCAGCGTAAAAACTAATTCGGATAATAATTTAAAACCAAATTGCATTGATTATCAATTAAATGAATCAAATTTGCAAATTGATAAAGCTAGCATTTATACTAGTTCAGATTCAAGATCTGCGGATGAATCAACTTTACACCCTGATGAATATTACAGTATGAGCGAAACTTCAGTTGACAAACTAATTTACGATAATTACCACGACAAATCTTTAATTAATAAGGAATATGCAGCAATAATATCATCTTG